GTACATAATACATGGTTAGTTTTAGTAAAATCCTAATTTGTTCTTATAACATCCATACCACACCTCATAAAAATGACTTAAGAGCAGCTTGCTTGGCGCATTGGCGTTAGAAGTATGAATATTCAGGACCATGGACAGTCCGGTACTGTGAAGCATGCTCCAAGCACACTTTCACGTTAATTAACTGTAGTACATAATCTGGATACAAAAAAAAAATTACCTCTAAATTACATTAAAATAAATTTGAAAACAAAAGAATTGTTTTCTGTGTAAACAGCACGTCTCACAAGATGTGTTGATGTACCTCTTGTAATCAATCCCTCCTACTTGCAGTTTAAGTCCCTGCCTGCGGCACAAGTCCATCCTACCAGCAGCATAAGTCACTCCTCCTTGCGGCTGGCTCCAGGTTGCAGATGTACCCTTCTCAATCACTCTGCTCTTTTTTCTGATTATTAGGGGCCAAGCACCAAAGGTGCATGGGCACCAGTTGTTTTTGTTAGTATTTTTCACTATTAATAGGGGTGAAGCCAATAAAACCAATTGGTGATTTTGTATTTTTTAGTTTGGCACATCGACTGAGGACGGTTCCAGCTCTTCATACACCAGATTTGGGGTCAATCCATCCATCCCTCCCTCCCTCTAGTGACACCAAACCAAATTTCAAGATATGTTTTTGCTTATAACTTGAACCCCTTGGCCTAGATTGGTGATCTTTGATTCTTCTGAATCTTTGGATCATCCTGGCTCGAATGCACCCATTGGCATTAATTTCCGCCATATTGAATTTTTCTGAAAACCTACTTTTACAAACTTTTCCTAGACCATTCATCCATTCCGCACCAAACTACAAAGGACTGGGACCAAAACCATATGCTAAGGCAAATGGTTTGGCTGCTGTCATCCAATGAATGTGATAAAGCCACCAAACAGGAAGTGAGGCCAACTCTCAGCAACACTGATATATCAAAACCAAATTTCGGATAGACTCAGGACCCAATTATGAGGAAGCTCCACAAAAATGGTGCCATTGTACCACTAGGGGGTGCTGCAATAAGCAAAAAAATATTTTAGCAAATATCTGTTGATCACTTTGCCCTAGAAAATCTTGTACAGTGGTACCTCAGTTCTGGAACTCATTAGAACTTTAATTTCTTAAAAGTCGAACCAACCAGTTAAAAAAAAAAAACTATGTCAGGATTTCTCTCTGCCAGTCCCATCATTTTCACTGGCCTTCCCATATGCTCCTAATGGTTCAACAATCACCCCCACAAAAACTCTAGTGCTTAACCTCCATCTCTCTTTTAGGTAAATCTAAAAAACATATTACTCAGTATTACTTCCCTAACCTGATTTTAATCTGAAGGTGTGACAGGTTCTCTTGAATATTTCCTTCAGTGCATTATTTTGTGGTATATTTTCTATGTTCCGGTCTTTCCTCTTTTCAAATTCTTTTCCATGCCATCTATCCCCTGGTTGTGTGCTTGGCCATTGTTGCTGCTTGCAGCTATATTTATTTTATTTTTTTTATTTTTTTTAAATCACAGTCCATTTGATGAGAGCTACGCTGCTGTGCCAGATAGATGCCCGTCAAATACCTGTTAAGTTTGTGGAAATTTTTAAGTTATTTTGTTTTTAAGGAGAAGAGGGGAAATATCACAGGACAATTATGTCACCCATCTGTGAAAACACTGGCAACATCAAAGAGCTCAACCTCAAATTTAAAGAAACATTTAGAAGTAAGACTATAAGACAAACTGCTAACATTAGCTATAGAGACCCAGGTATCACAATCCATGATAAAATCATTTCCTCATTGTTGTTATTTTTAGGCCACACTGCATTCTCTTGTACAAATAAATTCTTTACCATGTCTAGAGGGGAAAAAATGCCACGTGGGGACGTACTGTTGCACAGTTTTTACCCCGACGGCATTCCATAAGCACATTTAAACACAAAATGAACAGGATAAAACAAAAGCAGCATTTTTTTTCTTAATGGCTTCCAAAACGACAAAGATCTTATCCCAACATTACCTGTCCTGCACCGATCGCCGGCTCCTTCCGTGTGCCATGCCCCCTCGTTAACCTCATGTGGGATCCCCATGTGATCAGCTGTTTCTGGTTGTTTTCATTAATCCTCTGTATTAAGTCCGCGTTTCAGTTTGTTTCCCCAGTCCGGTCATTGTATTGTCTGTCTGCGTTTTGCCTGCCTTACCTGTAATTAAACCCCGTATTCCCCGATACCCTGACGTCTGTGCCTTTGTCTCCGTTCTGTGCCCGTTGGGCACGACAATATTATTATAATTAAATGTATTAATGGTTTATTATTAATATTAAAATAATGAATAAGAAATATTTTTAAATGTATTTTATTATATAATAATAATAACTACTGTTACTGTCTATCATTGTCTAAATGTACTTTTACTGTCTAAATATTAGGGGTGCACCGATCGATCGGCCTCGATCACGTTAATTTGAGGGGATCAGAAATCGACCATATTCCCATGAGATCCACCGATCTTAGTTA